ATATATATATCTTAACTTTAGACAATCATGGCAGGTAAACACTCCTCTAAATTACTAGACACTCCCTCTGAAATAGCTCTATATGAATGTGGAAATATCTCACGCTTTGAGACATATTTATATAGTGTCTATTTGTAGGTGCAAGAGTTTTTTCCATGTGTTCTTATTCTAATATTAATATGTATATAAAAGTACATATAATTGGGAGGATATTACTGTTGTGTTTTTCTTAAATGCGAATTAATAAATTTTAAATTACTAAAGACAAAAAAGTTACCAGAGATTACCTTTATTGTCATGCTAGCAACCATACCTGCTACAATTCTGTGCCTGTTCGGTATTAATCTTATTGATTTTTCATGTGAAGATCTCTATACGTTGCTAAGATCTTGAAGACTTACCACTGATGGGAAGAGAGAACTAATGTTCCCATTCCATAGTTTTTGTGTTCAATTTACTGTGTTGTCCATTCCCTCTCCAAATGCGTAATACTTGTGTATCAGAATGTATCAGTATGCCTTCACCTGAGTATAAAACACCAATGCTATAAAAAATAAGTTCCAAGTTCGATCCGCGGTACCAAAAAATAAATAAATAAATAAGTTCCACAAGGATGGACAGAATGATCTATGCTATTTAGCCCTTGTTGTATATATAAATCACCATCCTTTGTTGCATATACAAAAATAATACTGTTTTTCCTGAAAGCAAAGTAGAATAGAATTGGTATTCATAAATTCAATCTTAAAAATATTTTCTAGGGCCAGGGATTTAGCTCAGCGGTTCGGTGGCCTGCCTTGCAAGTGCAAGGACCTGAGTTCAATCCCCAGTACCAAAAACAAAAAACAAACAAAAAAAACCATATATATATATATATATGTATGTATGTATTTTTTTTTCTAAAATTTCAACTGGTCTAAAATATTGCTAGCGTGAAAATGTTTTGTAGGGCTAAGTATTACCAAGTCATGCCTTATTCTTTCAGAGAAATAGTTTTTATTTTACTCATAGAAATAATCTCTTACTATATTTCTAAATTGTCCTGCTATATCGGCAGGGTCAGTAGTGGCTTATCTGATTACATCAAACCAAAAGTCATAGTACTCCAAGAGGCTATTGGACCCCTCATAACTTTTATTACTTAAGTTGAGTAAATGTTTGATTATTTTCAAAACTAAATGGACTGAATAAGTCAGGGATTGTGCCTTTAATCAATTAATCATTTATTTATATGTATTATTCATTGACTATTGAAATAACTCTCTACTGTATAAGTATATATCTATAAAAGACTAGCTTAACCATATCAAATTTTACATTTACTCATTTTACATTTAACTAACCAAGTCAATTTTAGAAATTTTAATTCCTTAATATTTGTAAAAAGCAATAAATTCATAAAGCTTTCTGTTAAAATACCAGGGTCATTATTGTCACTGAGACAGAAAATATATTTTTCTTAAAGAATCATGTACCCTTCACTTTTTTTATTGTTCCTCATGATTCATTTAGCTCTAGAAGACTCTTCTTAAGTAGCTGGTACTTGAGATCTGGGACCATGTCTTGTTTGCTTTTATGCCTTTGGCACCGAGTACAAGTTCCCACAGGTAGACCCTAATAAATATAGTTGACTGATCCATCAATATACCATACACCTACAACTATGCATATTTTCTTCACTATTCTGTGTTGTATTTATTCTCCTATTTATTCTCTATGGTATATAAAACATGTTTATTTTCTAAAATATACGAAAACATAATACCTTGCATTACATAATAAATTACTCCTTTTGTTAACGCAATTAAAGCGTGATTTTTCTTTCACTTATAGATCCACTATCAACTAGGGTTAATCAATAGATTAAATCACCACTTACAAGACAATATCTGGCCCTATTTTAGTGGTTTTTGTTAACATGCAAGTCATGCATCCCATTACTATTATAAATAGACTCCAGGAATGGCTCATTAAGTGGAATAGCTATATTAATAATTTTTATATATCTAATTAAATATATTGACTCTAGACTCTCCCCCCAATGTTTATTGATCAAATTCCTATGGTCGTCTTCCAGTATAACTTTTATTGCTTCTTTGGAACTCTTTGGAGTTATGTAATTTATAAAGCTGTGATAGTTCCCTTATTGATCCATTCCCCAACCTTAAATGCAGTCTCCTAGTCTTAGCCTGTAGTATAAGAAAGAATAGCTTTTGGCATTTATCTTATGTCTTATTTTTCCTTGAGTAATTTTTCCTTGAGTAACTGTAAACCATGTACATCGAGTTTTCTCAGCATTTATAGGATTTGCCTGGATCAAACTTGGCAAGGTCAGAGCTTCTAGGTGGATTCCTAGCAAGTGACTTCGAGTGAGATTTGTGATTAACCAAGTTTGGAAATCATTGATCTACTTCAATATTACATTTGCTTCTCTTTCTTAGGCATAACATGCAGCCATGAAACACTGAAAGTGATTTCCACATGCTTCCTACTTTGCTGACATACTTTGTCCTGAAATGCTACACTGCCTTAGTTTTGAATAAAGAAAATCTCATTTAATGAATTTAATCTTAGCCTTGCGAGGAGCTATCAATAGGGATTCAAAACACTATATTCTTATTTGTCATCTAATCAGCGGTAAGTGATCTAGGGATGAAAGTTTTTCCCAAAGATGTGAAGTGTTTCTTTTTTCTACATCTCAACTGGCTGTTGACTTATTTGCTTATTATTCTGCTGACTTAGAGTCCATATTTCCAAACATTAATAGTATGCAAATGTGAGCTGTTAAGGGCAGATCTTAGCCATTGGTGCTGCATGGTGTAGATGGAAGGGATGGTCTCAGGATGATCATTCTCCTTTCTCTTTTCATTGTAAGTGTCATCATTGCTAATTCTGAGGGATGATGTGTTTATTCTCACATCTAGTACATGGACGTAAATTATACCTTTTTTATGAATAATAGCAAATTATCATTAATCATTTGCACTGTGACCACCAATGCTCTTTCTAAAATGCAGTCAATCTTAAACATGATATAAGACAACTTTCATTATATCATTTTGGGTCAAGGACCTAACCTCTAACCTGAAAAGCTGTGGAAAGTTACATGCCAAATAGAACTACAGTTTTATGTTGAAGAGAACCTAACACAGGGTAGAAAAAGATGTGAAAGCAAAAATTCAAAACCAGGAGCTTCAGTGTTGAGACTAGGTTGGCTACTGATTATTTTCCTTTAGAAAAAGAAATGGAAAATCATTCCTCTATCACAGAAGCACAAAAATGAATGGGCTGACTAAGACCCTCGACCGTTCTACCTATGTTTCCTCCCCAACTTTGCTCCGGAGAGAGGGAAAGTCCAAAGAAAGATGTGACTTTTCTTTTAGAACAAAATTTCTTGTCTCAAGTAGTGACCTCCTAATATTGACTTTTAACGCCCAAGTTTTATTTCCCTGTGGAAATGACTACATTGTCCACAGCCTAAGAGGCATTTCCTCACAAGCACCCATTCACAAGCAGTAACACCCACCTGGAACTGCACTAACCCGCCATTTTAGGATCCCAGACATACACAACTTCATATGCGTCCTCCATTTCTCCTAAATGACCCTCAGCGTCCAAGTGCCAAGCAACAGAGCCATGCACTGCATCCCCGATATCACTGGCAAACAGGAAAGAGAAGATACTACGAGGCAGTAATTAGGTGTGGTACATTCTCATCTGGAAATAGGAGCTTTTCCTCTTTGTTCCCACTGTACTGGACTTCTAGCATGGATTCAACACAATTAAATATTCTATTGGAAACACAAGGCATCTAGGCCTTTGGCCAAAAATGTAAGGAAAAAATTAGCTAGCCTACTATTTCATGGGAAATTCTTGGCTTAAATAATATTTTTAATAAAGCAGAGAGCTACCTGTGCCAACAAAGCAGAGAGATGACAAAATGATTTATGATTTAAATATCATATAATCTCTGCAGTGTACCATCCTGTATCAAACAACATGAGAGAAGTAAAATCACTGAGGAAAAGAACAACATGAAATTAGTAATTAATAGTAATTAGCAATTAATAGAATACATATTACATAAATGATCTCATTAAAAATTGCTGTAAAGATAATAGTAACTTAAAGAAGAT